ATCACTGTGTTACCTTCCGTTGTTTTATTTTTTAATATTAAAATTAAGTACTATATTAATATAATTACTATTATCACAAATATTAATAATTTTAAAATACTGGTATTATTTCTTATTTTTAGGCACCTGTCTTAATCAAGTGACCAATGTCCTGTGATAACTATTCTGATTTTTCTTGCATGATAAAACAATAAATTCAGAAAAAATAAAAATTTCAAGAAGTCTTTTCTTCTAATCTGCCTTTGTCATTTCCTATGGGTCTTTGGGCAGCCACAGGGATTCACTGTCTTACCTTCTAAGATTAGAAACAATAAAAGTAATTAAACTTGTTTGGTATGTTTCATATTTTTTAATTAGCTCAACACCATTATAAGGCTCGCACAAAAAGAGCTTCAAATCAGAGAGGTTCACTTTCTGTGCACTAATTTTTTCAGGTAATACAAAATATGTGTCCAAAATAATTCATCATTCTAATATAAAATATGTGTCCAAAATAATTCAATTTGCAGGAAGAACATGGCAAATTGTTAACATGGTCACTGTCCATATATTCTCACTTTCAGAGGAGCTGTTAACCAAATCCTTATTAAATAGTAAGTCTTATACCCTGATAGAGAATTCTTCTCTTTTCTATTCTGATATGGTTGATTACGATAATAAATTAATCACAACCATTCAGTCATTCGGCAGGTGGTTTCTGCATTCCTCCATACTTGCCTGAAGGCTCTGCTGTTAACTATAGGCTCCAGAAATTGGGTTCTCAAATAGTGACCTCAATAGAAAGTACTAGATCAGATACATAACTGTGATGTCTTCAAGGACCAGACTCAAGGGTACAAGCTTCAGAGTTGATATCACTTACACATCAGCCAGACTATACCAGGTTACTAAACCAGAATTTCTGGGATTGATGACTTCATGAAATAAACTATAATCCCCAAATTCAAGAGATCAAGAATTAGTTAAATATAACTAATGAACTCATGAGGTGAATCTAATTGGGCTTATTTGTTTGGCAGATTTTCAGTATATTTTTAATGTCCTGTTTTTTTAATTGGTATTTATAACAATAAAGCTTTTTATTCATCTTGATTTAACTTTAATACTTGACTTAATAAAGCTTCTTTAATTGATACCTGCTTCCAACTGACATCTCAGATATTCAGTAAAACATTTTTTCTAAGTGTCTTTACTTTTAATGGCAGTTAACTGGATACATAACTAAGAATCTGCCTTTTTTTTTTTTTAATCAGAATATAAGTTGACAAATCAACTGTACAAATTGTTTGATTAGGAAGAACTTTATACTAAAGCACATATGATAAGCTCACCAAAGAGACAAAGGCTGTATATTTCACATGCGGAACCAATCAATACCAACAGAGCCCTGCCAGTAATTGGATCTGTTCCCTAGTCTGAGTTTATAAGGTCCAGCCTGAGAGGAAATAAGGAAGGTCAATTTCTGGCAAGCCAGGAATCTCAGCTCATTTGGGAGACATAAATGAGAAAGGAATTTACCCACATTTATAAGCACTTCAAGTGAAATACTACTAATGGAGATGGTTATTTTGAGTTTGGTTCCTAAGCTTCTGAAAAGAAGAATAAACCAAGATTTGCTTTTTAAAATACTCTGAAGTAATAAAGGCTACTGAAAACGCAATTCTAGATTTCTAATGAAATCTTCAAACAGATCTGCTCTTACTTTGTTTAATATTGCATGGCATTGGATATTTCAATCCTACTACAAAGTTATGTCAATAAACACTTCTTGCTGCACCTATCTAAAGGAATCAGGCCAGGTGCAGTGGTTCATGCCTGTAATGCCAGCACTTTGGGAGGTTGAGGAGGGCAGATCACATGAGATCAGGAATTCAAGACCAGCCTGACCAACATGGTGAAACACCATCTCTACTAAAAATACAAAACTTAGCTGGGCATGGTGATGCACGTCTGTAATCCCAGCTATTCGGGTGGCTGAGGCAGGAGAATCACTTGAACCAGGGAGGTGAAGGTTGCAGTGAGCCGAGATCATGCCACTGCACTCCAGCCTGGGTGACAGAGGGAGACTGTCTCAATAAATAAATACATACATAAATAAATGCATAAATACATAAATAAATAAATCAGACAAAAACAAAGGAGATTACTTTTTTGTTGTTTTTAACAAGAATCATCCTTGGATAATATTGATGATCCTAAGCGGGAAATTTTAAGAAAAATGTTCAAAATTTGGGACCCAGCACAAGAAAGAATATACATATACATCCTTCACCAAAGGATTAGCTAATTCTTTAAAAGTATGTCGCTTCATCTGAATCACTAATTACCACTGATTAAGATATTTTATAACTCTGTGAAAAAGGAATTTGTAGAATATTCATCGCAACACAAATGATACTTATATAATAATAATGCAAACAAATTTTGTCTAGTACAGAGGAAAATGATTTGTCTATTAGTAAAGATAGCCTCATGGTTTCACTTTGATTGTCTTATTGGACATTTAGTATAAAATTTAGGAATCTTATTCCACCATTCTTTCTCTCACTGATTATAAAGGTTTCCCTTATTCCTATAATCCTTTGATTATATCTTGCTGGTTCCCCCAATAACAAATTGATCTATCTTTAGCATACATTCACTCACATACACGCTGTATAACACTTGACTCTTTTTGGAGTTTTTGACTAGTTTTGGAGTTTTTTTTTTTTAAATAAACTATGTTCCCTTTTTTATTCCATGCCATAGAAATCTTAAGAAAAACAAGAGAGAATGAAAAATCATTGTGAGTAACAATGGCAGGTTAGAAAGGTAAGATAAGCTTACTAGGGGTAGGAAGATTTCCTGCTTTTCATGTTACAGATGCAGTAAATGCATGAAATTAAGGGAAACCTGATGCTAGGCTGACCAACGCATCAGATAGAGGTGTCCAATCTTTTGGCTTCCCTGGGCCACACTGGAAAAAGAAGAATACATTAACAGTAATGATGGCTGATGACCTTACAAAAAAAAAAAAATCTCATAACGTTTGAAGAAAGTTTACAAATTTCTGTTGGGCCAAATTCAAAGCCATCCTGGGCAGCATGTGGCCCACAGGTTAGACAAGCTTGCATTAGAGAATACCATGCTGTTCTAATAAACGCTTTATCTGTGGATTCTTCTAAACCCCACAGCTTTGAAATTCTACCTACAGGTCTATACTACCTTATCTGTATCAAAGAGTGTCCCAGAAAAGTTTTTTGTGTTTATTGATACGTATAAAACATAAGGAAGAGACAAATAATAACCTCTTTTTCTTCAGGATATTGTCCTGTCTGAATTTGGTACCTAGAATAGCCATAGATTTTAGACCTTTAAAGGGAGATAGCCTGAGGTAAAAAGTTGACCTACTGGAATGGAGAGGCAAAGAGATTAAGAAAAATCTGAATTCTTGATAAAATCACTGAGCCACTGAATCAGCCAACTCTGGACCTTTTGTTATGTAAATGTAGCCTTCCTTATGGTTTAAACACATTCTAGTCGTGCTTCCCATTACTTGCACTGGTGAAAGCATATGAGATACAACTTCTACCACACCTCCAAATCAGCCCTGAAGCTTTTTGCTGCAGTCTCTAAAGAAGGATCTGTACATATACTTGTTTAATAAAGTTCAAAGGTTAAATCCTTATCCTATATCTCTACATGCCTGATTCCTAGACTTGCCTTTCCCAAGACATAAAACTTCTGGCAATTTACTTAAGCTCCCTTGACTTCAGTTCCTTCATCTACAGAATGAGGTTAATATATACTCCAAAAGCATTTTGGGAGAATTAAATGAAATGACATATTTTAAATGTGTGGGATTAGACAGAAGTAGTCAGAGGAGAATTTTTTAAGTCTCCAATAAGTCTGACCTAACATGGATAAAAATCATACACTCAAAACATAACTTTTGAATAGTCAAATTTGCCACCCTACTTTCCTATTTAATCTCCAACTCTTAAATAACTGAGGTGGGAGGAACATACAGAAATACACAACCAGCTTGATGAAGTTTGTAAAACAGTCCTATTTAATTTTATTCTCATAAACCTAGAAAAAGCAAGCCAGCAACTTTTTAATCAGCATTGCTAGGTGGAGATTTCATGATGTTCTTAACATTTCTAAGTTGTTGTATGCTCAACATTTACAGAATGTTCACTTTTCCTTGAAAAATATATCTCAGTCAATAATTTCCTCTTCGGGGAGGGAACAGAGGTAGTACACTTGGCTTGAAAACTAACATTCTTTGAAGATTTTAAAGCATCTTTAATATGTAATGATAATCTAATATATAATCATAACTCCATATTTTTCACATTAACTATATAAGATTATTAACATTGTATATTTGTTTTTCATCATATATATGATGATATATATATTTATATATATATATTTATATATGTATATCATCATATATATATATTTATGTTTATATATATATTTTTTTCTGGCATTTTATTGTGTTTGAAAGATAATAAGCTTTTAAACTGAGATAGTCCCTAGCTATCTTAAGTCAAGTTTATTTTTGGAGAGGAGACATATAAGGTCATAACTGTATTTCCGGTCACACTCCTCCCAAGGAAAAGTCATTCTGAGTCTTTGGACTATGTATTGATTTTAAGGTATATGTTAAAGGTGACAATATAGTCTTTGAAATTGCTATATATTCTTATCTTAATTCATCTAGGATGTTGGAAGTACTCTAGCACTGACACCTACATTAATTTTTTTCTTTTCTTTTCTTTTTAATACAAAGCTGTTCTTTTCCCATGAAATATATTGGGACATATCTAACTTAGATGCATTATGTGCCTGAAATATCAGGAAAAAATTCCAGTCTCAGCATGCCATTTCTTTCCACTGTAATTTAGACATTCTTCATGCTGCATTTATGTCCACAGGGTAATAGTCCTTACATTAAAAGCCAGCCTTCATTAAGTGGCTCACCCTTCAAGTAGTCCATTACAGCCTTTTACTCTCTCACCTTGCACTGCTTCCAACTCCCACTGTTTTTAATAAGCAACTCTAATGTGGCAAACTATCATCTCTGTGCTGAGGGAGAAAGCATCAATAGACAGAAGATAACATGGTTTCGAAGAGCACATTGAAATAAGCCCATAATTCTCATCCTAAAATACTTCACTGTAAACAAAGACTTAAAATTATTTTCAAACCCTAGACTTTAGTCTGATTCCTTTCATCCATGATTTTTTCTTTTACCGTATATGCTCTAACGAGACAGCAGATAATATATATGTTTCTAAAGGTTTGCTTAGACAGACATGCAGCAAGTGTTTATGAAATAACTAAAAATAGCATTCAGGTAAATCAAAGGAAGGGCAAAGCGTTTCCCCAAGGGATGAAAATAATAGAGAAAATTCTGAAGTTTGGCAGCAATTTCAAACAGCGAGTCTTATTCCATTTCCCATGAAGAGTAAGAAACAGTCATTTAAAGCTTTCAAATTGTGGAAAGAAGTATTTTAAATGAAGTGGTAGAAGATCATTCTGGATTAAATCAAATTAACTACATGGCTCATTATATAGTAGATTTAAATGCCCATGCCCAAGTCGAGGAAATTTGTCAATTCAACTACAATGATGAAGCAGGGTCGTGCTGGAACAATACTCTTGTATAGGACACATCTAAGTTCCTATTCTGTTCCTGGGTGACATTTATTCTACCACTCTCTGCCATGTTTTGTCTCTGGTAGATTTGCTGTTAAGATATTCACTCCACTTATCTCTAAAATATCACCAATTTTATAAGGCTCTTGTGGGGATTAAAAGATACATATCCTGTCCCTAGTATATAGTAAAATTCAGTCAGTGACCAGTAAGTGGTAGCTAATAGTAGTAACTGCTTTCATCTCAAAGATGCTTATCTGAAAGTGCTTGAGTTTGCGGCATCATTGTTTTCAAACTGCCCTTTGGAGGCGTATGTCTCTAAGTGTTTTTCAGAGAAGCTACTTTGATGGAGGCAGGGCAGTATAGAGAAAGGGGTAGGGGTGAGAATTTAGGGAATTACATAACAGATCATTTCCAATCAATTCATTCCTTGTCATTGATTTTAAATATTAAAGTAATAGAAAATATTATTTTTGTAAAGAAATAATATTACTTAAAAAAATCTGAAAATCATTGAGTGATATAAAACATTCCAGCTTTAAACCTCTGTAGTTTTCAGGCTACTTAGAATCTAACACTTATATCCAATACTTATTGAGGTTTTCCTATGTTAATGACCTGATGTTAAGCTATTCCCTTCCCTTCTTCTCCCCACTACCAACAAATCGCTCAGTTCCCCTTAGGACAACTGCACATGTAATGCATATGTTCACACACACACATACACACACACACACTCTCTCTTTCTCTCTCTCTCAATTTGGTTTTGTTAACAGACAATGCTAGCTAGATGATGAAAAGAAAGTAAACCAACATTTTGGCCTGATTTTCTAATTTTCTAAGACAAAACTAGCCATAAAATTGCAAGTCAATATTCATTGCCAACACTATATGCACAGAACTTTATTCTACCACTCTCTCCCATGTTTCGTTTCTGACAGATATGCTATCAAATCATTATGTTAATTCAGCTGTGTGAGATTTTTGGCAGTTACGACTTTGGAAAAAACATATACTTTATTATTAATCATCTATAATAGGGAGATGAAAACAGTCAAAGTGATCCACTACTTTTAGTAACTGATCACTGTCCCCAGAGAGAAAGAAAGCACATGTCAACCTAAGAACTTCCTTGAAATTTCTTCTCAGATGTATTACAATGTGTTACATGGCATACACAACATTATTTTAATAAATTATTACTAGGTCTTCTCCTATAAAACTAAGGGACTCATATTACTACTTAGAAAACTTAGCTGAAATCATGTTACCTATACCTTTTATTGTATGCATCAAATTATGGGCACCAATGTCTTATTTAAAGTTCACTTCATCACACTATCAGAAGAAAGCCAGGTACAAGATCATGTGACCCATGCATGCTCCCCACTGAATAAAAAAAGCACACCAAATCTCTCCAAATAATTGAAGAAGGGAACCCTTATTTTAACAACCTGGCTAATAAATCTAAGGGAAAAAAAGATACACAGTTCTGAAAGTAACAAACTAAAAAAAAGGTATCTTTCTTTTCTTTTCTTTTTTTTTTTTTGCTTTTTTTTTTTTTTTTTTTCTTTTTGATGGAGTCTTCTCTATCGCCCAGGCTGTCGTGCAGTGGCACGATATGGGCTCACTGCAACCTCTGCCTCCCAGGTTCAGGCCATTCTCCTGCCTCAGCCTCCTGAGTAGCTGGGATTACAAGCATGTACCACCACATCTGGCTAATTTTTTTATTTTGTGTAGAGACAGAGTTTCACCATGTTGGCCAGGCTGATCTTAAACTCCTGACCTTGTGATCCACCCACCTCAGCCTCCCAAAGTGCTAGGATTACAGGCATGAGCCACCACGCCCAGCCAAGTCACCTTTCTTAACATCATTCATTTCTCTCCCTTCTCTGTGTAATCTCATTTGCTCTCTAAACTTTAGCTTTAAGGCTTGACAAGGGGGCAGAATTGAGATTTAACTGAGATCTAGATAGGCCTTAACCTACTGAATCAGATCTCACCAAGTTTTATAAGGGAGGAGGAATGATTCCTTACTTCAATCTTCAGAGTAATTTAATGACACAGGGCTTTCATTTTTTACTATATATACAGTGTGTGCATTGTAAATAAGAAACCCTGTACAGTTATTTTCATTATCATCAGTGAAAACATGAGACTGAAAGTGGGGCACAATGCAGTCATAATTTTAAATACTACCAAATAAGTTCTCTAGAGACTCTCAACTAAACTTCAATTAGCCATTGTACAAAATCCTGTTAAAAAGAAAAAGCAGTTATAATTACAGTCAAAGATAAATGTATTGTGATGTCAATCACAATCCCTACTCTCAAATCTAGGATAGAACATATAGTAAAATGGTCAAATAAATTTGTTACATGAGGTCATAAGCATAAACAAAAAGACAAACAAGGTCAAGAACACACATGTATTTGAGATCAAAGAACAATTTCTAGTTCCATGCAACAGCTCTCATTCTCTATGGGTTTTGAAAATATATATATAATGGATTTTTGAGGAATAGAAGATTGGGATTTGACAAGCAAAAGCCAAAAACAAAAAAAGAGAAATATGAAAAGAGCACACTTTTTTGGTAGAAATAATAACACTTAAGTGTATCCAAAATAGATAATATTTATAAAGACAAAGGTCAAATCTTAATCATTATGTGAAGATGTTCTCATTACATAAAAATCTCAACTCAATATAATGTTTGGTAAATGGGGTATTTTTTAATTCAATTAATTTTCTAACAAGAGGAAAATCTCTTAATTCTTGACAAAAATATTTTAAAACTTACATTTACAGAAGCTGACATTTTGTCTAAGTAAAATAAAATGTTGTCTTGAGAAATAAAGATAAAAAAACATGATATGTTAATAAGGACTTTACAGTCTAATGGGCAGAAGGACATATGAGATATATACTATAAAAACAGCTACAATTTAAATACTACATAGTACAGTGGGTCTCATATTCTGATATGAGGGTAGAAGAAACAGAGTTTCAAGCCAGTCAGGAAAATTTTCTCAAAGCAGGTAGAACGTGAGTAGACATAGTAAGAATGGGTAAGAGACTGATGAATGGATAAGTAGACAAAGAAATATTTCAGCAGAAGGAAGAGAACAATACAATGCCCACATAAAGGCATCAACAAACACAGTATTTTTTTTAGTAGGGAGGAGAGAATCCAGGATGGTAGGAAAACAAGAAGTTTGGACTTATTTGAGGATTTCTATTTTATATCTTCTGTTCTAATCCATGACATTTTATTTGCTAGTTTCTTTTTTTTTTTTTTTTTTTTTGAGACAGTCTTACTCTGGAGTGCAGTGGCATGATCTCTGCTCACTGCAACCTCCACCTCCGAGGTTCAAGCAATTCTTTGCCTCAGCCTCCTGACTATCTGGGATTACAGGTGCCTGCCACCACACCCAGCTAATTTTTGTATTTTTAGTAGAGACGGGGTTTCACCATCCTGGCCAGGCTGGTCTTGAACTCCTAACCTCATGATCCACCTGCCTCGGCCTCCCAAAGTGCTGGGATTGGTGTGAGCCACTGCGCCCGGCCTGTTATTTTACTTTCCTAGCACTATCCTTGTATGCACTTGTTTTATACATTTTTTCCAATTTATATTGATATATCAGATCCACAAAGAAAAGTACACAACTCATCACTGCACAGCTCAATGACTTTTTACAGATTTCAGCACACCTCAAACTGTAAAACGCCATCCAGATTAAAAAATAGAATATCACCAGCATCTGGAAGACTCCTTCATGCCACCGACAAGCACTAACCATTTTCACCTAACCCCTCCCTCAAGTAAGTAATATACTGATTTCTAACATCATCAATTAGTGTTGCCTATTTTTGAAACTTATATAATTTATATAAATGTATACAATACATACTCTCTTGCATCTGGTTTCTTTCCCTTAAGATTGGGGTTGTGAACTTCGTTCATATTATTGTATAAAGCAATGGTTCTTTCATTTATTTGCAGTACAATTTTCCACTTTATAAGTACGCTGCCATTTATTTATACATTGCACTGCTGACAGAAATTTGGGTTGTTTTCAGCTTGGGACTATTATGAATGCTGATGCTATCAACATTTTTGCACCTGTCTTTTAGTGAACAGTATACTCAGCCCTGCTGGGCTTATACCCAAGAATGGATTTGCTGGTCATTAGATTGTACAGATTTATGCTCCAACAGTAGTATAAGAGGGTTTAACTTGCTCTACATTCTTACTAACACTTGGAATTATAATTTTCACTTTTCCATTGCGTGTACGATAGTTCTCATTGTGTTTTAAATTTGCATTTCCTTGATGACTGAATTAAATAGGTGCTAGTAATTTCATATGATTTGGGGACATTAGGGCTACCTTAAAAGTACTCATTCCCTTGCATGCTATTTTTTATTCTATTTGCCAGACCTTTCAATCATTACTATTGGAATCTGACAAAAGTGTATGTGAACTGTAGAAGTAAGCAGGAACTGCTGCAGAACATTTTAAGCAATGATAGTACTGTATCTCTTCATGAGTAAAAACAATTTTCTTTCTTTCTGTTCTTCTCTTCTACACATCTTCAGTCTTCTTTCATTCTATTTATTCATCCTGTCTTTTTTCTCTCACTCTTGGCCTTCGGTCCAAAAAAGTCAATAAACTGAAGCCAGTTAACAACACCAATTATCATACAGTTCAATAACAAGTGTGCTTTGGAAAGCCAGCCTTCATAGAGTTGCCAAACATTTGGGGTTTTTTTGTTGGTTTTATTTTTTATTGTGTCTGTTTTTAAAGTAAATAAAGAAAATAAGCATGCTTGCTAATTTATGTGACAATAAAAAGATCATAACATTTTAGTATGATAAATCTAAATGTCTCCTTTTTGCCAATTTATGAGCAAGGAATGTCCAGTCAGCACTTTAAAGGAATATCAGAAGGTAAATGAAAAAAAAATGGCATATATTATAAAAAGAGGTGAGTAAAAGAAGAATATACATGAGTGTTTTCTGTCACCTCTCTGAAGACTAAACAGAATTTCATTTGGCAAAATAAAGTGGCCGTGACCTCTTTCCTCCTCTGCATGATTAATTACCTAATGTCCTATTAATTGGAAGATATGGTTGAATTTCAAACACTTTCTTTTTCTGTGCATATCATCCTGTACTGTAACTACCGATTAAGCTGTTCATCAAAGGTGAGCCAACAAGGTCACCTGAGCAGTAATTCTTCAACTATTCATTATCCACCATCAATGGTAATTAGCAGTGGTAACATTTCCATAAATCAACATCTTTCTTAGTATTCTCTGATTATAAACAGTCAAAATGTGTGCATCCCAGCCCATCCCCTTTAATTTTATATGAAAAGTCTAGTCTAAATGTACCAGAGAAAATTCAGGTGAAAAATTACAGTAGTTTCTTTAATTAAAATGAACCAGGAAAATAAGGTTACATGCCTTTGAAAGAAAAATACAAGCGTATGCACAAAATTAAATGAGCCTGCTGACAAAGTAGGGGTCAAACATAAGAAGCAAAAATTGTATACCACATAGTTCCAATTTATCCCTCTGCAAAGGAAATTATGGCTCAGTTAAGCCTCAAAAATAACCACTTGCCTACTCAGTCATGGAAAGTGACAATTCAAAGTAAAAAAGCAAATTTAATTCATTCTACTATAAGAGTACACAGCACAGAGAACCAATAAAAAACCTTTCAAGGATATATTTACCATTCATTTACAAACCAAAAATTGTATCTAGAAACGTAACATTTAGGTTTAATTTGTTTTGCATACGTGTCATAAATTGTTTATTGTTGACGTTTTCCTTTTCCAGGCTGGAGTGCAGTGGTGCATGCTAGGCTCACTGCAACCTCCACATCCTGGTTTCAAGAGATTCTCCTGCCTCAGCCTCCTAACTAGCTGGGATTACAGGCACCCGCCACCACACCAGGCTAATTTTTGTATTTTCAGTACAGATGGGGATTTCGCCAGGTTGGTCAGGCTGATCTCGAACTCCTGACCTCATGATCCGCCCCCGTAGGCCTCCAAAGTGCTGATTGCCAGGTGTTAGCCACCATACCCAGCCTCCCTTGTGTTTTTTTAAATCATATTAAGCAGCAAGTTCAAGGATGCTCCTGATACAATTTTCTTTCTTCAATAACCAGAATTAACATTTTCACTTCTAATGGCTATGTCTAAAAGTGTCATATCTAAAATTCACACTCAGGAAGGACTTACTCATTTTGTTGAAAAATTAATTCAGACCATTTTTAGATAATAATAATAAAAATACTAAAATATACCTTGAAACCTAAATTATTAGTGATAAGCAATCAGCACATCAATGATATTATATAATAGCATAATGATATATATAATATATATACATGACTATATATAATATGTAATTATGTACTATCTTTGTTCTAAATATTGGAAGGAAAAGAGTTTGTTTTCTTTAGTGTTATATTTTTAAATTCCTGTTTACATTTTCAAAGTTACAATTTAATGTTATGCTAAGCATAT